AACTATCTGACTATTGCAGTGCTAACACAAAGATCGAGAGGATACCGGATAAGCAGGGTGAATGGAGCACTGAAATATATCCTCCTACCGTGTAGACACGTCCAGGTGTCAGGGTGTTCAGCCTTGTAGCTTCTGGGAGCCGGCACTCTGTCCTCCCCGTCGTTTCCGGATGGTGGGGAGAAAATGTCTTGGATCAAGAGCTGAAACTGAAGCTCTGGGGTCTCATAGATGGATTTCAATGCCACTGGCAATGGTGAAAAAGCCAATTATGGACCCAGATTCACTCCTCCTGGTGTGTTTGGTGCCTGGGTACTGATGACCTCAGAATCAAGCCCTAAAGCGACAGACTGCGAATGTCCAATTTTTACCTCTGTGGTGAACAGAACAGTTGCAGTGCTGCTGTCTTGCTCAACTATTCAGCCTGGTGGTCTATGACAGCCAGAAATGCTGCATCACAGAGAACAATGGAGATGGAGAAAAAGCAAAATTCTTCGCAGATTGAAATCCTTTAACCAGTTTTATACGGTACGCAGTCAATCCGCTCCAATGATAGCTCGAGTCTACTCTGATCAAGGAATGATGCTTGAATGATATGGTGCGCAGTGAGTTTCTGAGAGGCATATTGTCATTATCATTTCATACTTTATCGTTGTTCTTCATTTTTTAACTCTATGTTCACATCTTTGCATCCCCAGAACAAATATAGACTCTAATTTTGAAGCCTGCCTCCGTTTTTTGTGAGCAAAACTGCATGCTGGTAGAACTCTGTCTGGACATCTATTTAACTGGTCCGAACTAGGTCAACAGTGGCACAGTGGAATGAGCCACCAATACTGTTCACATGTTGGAAAGGACACATAATAGGCTCCATTCCAAACTTCTCTTTAATCCACTCTGCAAAGACAGTGTCTTTGGCTTCGACCATGATACGACGTTCATCCAAGCTCAGTGCGTTGAGGACTAGCCACGGGGAGGTCATGTATAACGGTGGGCCGTCCTTTTTCTCTGGGGTGAATGGATACGCGTAGAGCTCCCAGTCTTGGAACACTGCATGTTGACGCAAAGACTTCTCGGTGACTCTTCCTGGGTGGTAAACCATCAGTTTGCTTCGAAGAGGGAGGATGGTGGCATCGATATGCATGGCATGAGGGTCGTCCGTGTCCAAAACCTCAACCGAGTATCCTTCGGGAATCATGGATCTCAAATACTCAACTCCTTTCATGTTGGTGACATTGCTGAGTTGCCCAATAATAACCTTGCCAAAACGCATAAAGTCCGCAGTATCGAAAGCCGGCCTGCTCTCGTTGATAGCCCAGGTATGGGTTTCTTTGTTTTCGCAAGATTCAGCATCGTCGTACAGCGTATCTCTTCCCAAGATCTTTGGCGCTCGGACGACTCTGCTGGAGCCGTCACTCGCCAGCGTGGAGAGAACACCGTCATACGCAAGCTCCACCTCATTCTGGCGACAACCCCAAGCAAACGGAGCTTCAATGACCGTGTTCCCCACCGTCATGAGACTATCGCGTGGCATTGCTCCCGTGTAACCGCCGACCTTGAGCCAGTCCACCTCCTTGGGCCGGTAGACTCGAATACCCTCGCGTTCGAGGATTGAGGCAAAATTGTCCAGCTCTTGCTGGGCCTTCTCAAGGATATCGGCTGGAAACGGGTTCGATGGCTTGAACAAGTGTTGATACTCGTCTGGCATGGTAGCTGCAATCATAGGGGCAGGCTCGGAGGGGAAACAAGAATGCTCAGCACGCCCAACGATGACGGCCTGAAGGGGAGACCATTCATCCTCAGCAGATACCATGTTCAATTTGGCAGATGGCATGATTGCGATGGTTTCAACTTGGGAGTTTTTCAGTTCTCAGATGGTCGAGGATGAAGAGAATGCAGAGAGCAGGACGATGTGAAAACAACAACACTGAGCGTCTCAAGAGGAGCGCCTTCTTCTGCGTTCTCGACGTCTCTTAATGAAGGAAGAAGGAACCCCGCTCGTCGTGCAAATCAGTCCCCAATCCGGTAGTTACAGCTATTAGAAAGCGGCCTGGAGCATTTGCTCATCGGCGTCTTGGTGACTTTGTCAGCCTCAAACCGCTGAGGTGAATCCGTGGCGCTTGTGTGAGCGTGTTCACCACCTCGTCATAGCTAGTATTCTGTTTGGTACATACAACCCACTACGGTCTTGATTGAGGCTGATGTTGCATTCCTTGAAGATCCTGTGATGACCACATTGCTCAGAGTATATGCAGGGGAGGGAAAAACGCCAAAGTGACGAATGCAAACAAGAAATGCCCCTGCACGGTGAAAATACTGTATAGGGTTGGCATACGTATGTACAAAACCCTCAAGGATAAGCGAATTGTTGGGTGGAAACTGAAAAACGTTTCTAGCCTGGATGACGATTCCCTCGACTGATGGATTGCAGCTCCTGGGTCACAAAATTCTCCTTCTCCACTCCCCGGGATATCGGAGGTGCTTTGCTGAACGTATGTACGTGTCATGCTCGGTCCCTGGGAGTGCTAAGCTTCAACATGCGTTTGGCTTTCAGCCATGATCTCTCGAATTTCAATCTGGACCGGGCTTGCCCTCCGTATCTGCAGTGCTTCTAGTTACTAGACTTGAGAAAGCTACTATCCGAAATCGCCACAGAGTTAAGACCCCTCGATAATCAGCTTGTATGTATGTACATACATAGGCCAGTGTGATCCATCGCATCCGATATACTTTGTACAGAATGACTATGGGGTACAGCGACGAAATCAAACCTGACTATAGCTTTAGCGTCGTTACCCATTCCCCAGTCCGTTAGATACCGATGCAGGACATCAATCCACTTCACTGATGAATCATTCCGTATGGAATTCTCCCTCGTAACGACTCAAAATGTCGTCCTAGTTGTCGGCAATTCCGATTCTCCAACGTTCAACTCTACAACTACATCCTTGTGAATATCATTTCGCCCTTTAACTCTATTGGGGCCGCTTCTATGGAGCCACACTGCCACATGAGACCTGTCTTTCCATCTCCCATTTCTGGCGTGGTTTCGATTTCATATGTTAGCAGCAGAAACGCAGCGACCATCTTCAATTCCATGATTCCAAGGGCTTTTTCTAGGCATATTCTAGCACCATACCCGAAGGGAATGAAGCTGTTTTCCATTTGCCGCAGCGTTTGAGACGTCTGGTTGAACCATCTCTCTGGGAGGGATTGTTCTGGTTTAGGAAAAAGGTTTGGATTTTGGTGCAGCGCGATAATGGATGCTGTGACAAGGGTCCTGACAGGGAGGCGTATACCACCATAATCCGTTCTCGAATCCTCAATATAGCATTCTTGTCGTCCACTTGCACCGGGATTAATACGCAGAGCCTCATGCATGAATGCGTCAAGCAGGGGTAGACCATCGATATCTGTCCACGTTGGAAAACCGTCTTCCCTAGGCGGCAGACTTCTAAGTTCATTGCGAATCTTGTTCTGCCAACCCCTCTGTCTTGCAAGATGAAAGATCAGATAAATAAGACCAACGGCTACAGTCTCCTGTGCTGCATTGATGTTGTCGTAGCACGCTGCGGCGATGTACTGGGTTGTCAGTGTCTCGGGATCCTTTCCTCTGCAGGAAAGCATCCGTCGGAGCAGCGTATAATCTTCCACCGCATCCACATCTGTGCTTGTTTGATCCCTAGGAGTGTCTTTCGCTCAGGGCAGTCATCTTCAATAGTTTTGGCCCCGTATCTCGATCCGAAAAGAACGTGCGTGATGTTATCGAATGCGAAGCAATTGAACGATGGATACACATCCAGCATGGCCTCCTTAAGATGTTGCCGCTGTTCCCCGACTACTGTTCAATTTTTTATCGATCTGCGCAACAAGTTTGATTATATTCTTTCTTACGAACCTCTCTATAGCAGGGCTTGTGATATTCGTTTTATGATAGAACGACGAAATCACATCCTTTTCTTCCTATGTTCCCAATATGGGCCGATCGAAAATAGCGGCTTCTGTCCGTATACCATGATATTCTCGAATAACTCGCTTTTCGTGTACTTTCCCGCCGTTCCATATATTTCTCTCATAAGTTCCAGAGACGCGAAGGAAACCTCGCCAGGCCGAAAGCAGATAATGGGCCCGTACTTTCGGTGCCATTCTGCGATTCTGTCGTTTCTTCGGAGCCAGAAATCGTACCAGGCGATGTAGTACCATGATATTTTCCCTAATCTGGGACCTGGAACGTGGCTGTATGGCCCTAAGTAGAGAGGATGGACAATGAAGCAGTACAGGAGAAAAGTTATGATTCCACAAAATAAAATGAGATGAGAATCTTCGCCCGACCGCTGTTCAGCGAGGATGGCCATCTTGAGATTCAAGATCAAAACACGGAACGGATTTCATAGCAAATACGAAGTATATCCACTCGAAAATGTATGTACAGTACGTCCATACCGTACATCCATATATCCATCGAGTGCAAGTGTGGTTGAAACTTCCATAATTTGGCTTTGACCCGCTCATAAAAGAGCCGTTCAGTGATCTGTGCATCTCGTCTCCCACGGGGGTTCAACCTGCGAACCAGTCGCAAATAGTAACCATGCACTCCCGTTCACTCTGGTAAGATGTCTGGCTTCTGGCCTTGTGTAACTTTGTCGAGTTTGATCCCAGCCATGTCTCCATTGACTTTCAGGCGTTTGACGCTCTCTATTTGCCAGTCCTCACTTGAAAAGGAAGACGATCATTGCAATCGCTCCTAATCGGTCCATTGGTGGTTGCATTTGTGGAATGTGCTCTCTGTATAAAACTTGCGTCGTGAACAAGTTTGTGGACAATAATTCTCCCATTGATAAAAATCTCAACTGGCGTTGTGACAAGTGCCACATTGATGCATTCTTCAGCCAGCCGACTCTGGATGCGCTGTGATTCCATGCAGTAAAATATTCTGCGAAGAGTTGAGAGGGAAAAACTCTCTATTAAATCATGAAGTTGGAATAGCCTCGAGATTGAGTGAAGAGCCTGTGGCGTAGTGGTAATGCAACGGACTCGAATATTTGTCCAATCACTGAGACGTGGAACATCGAGATCGGTAGATCGCAGATTTGATTTCTGTCGGGCTCATAGAAGTAGAATTTTCTTTTTCCAAAATGGTATGTTCCTGTTTCGATTTTTCTTTTGAAGAAATTCATACAGACCAGCGCAGAGTAATTATTCTATACCTATATGTATGTATGTAGCTACTCCATACTCCATACCACAGTTGAAATCATATAAACTTGCACAAAATTGGCAGAGCTGGTTGGAGCGATCAAGGGCGTTAGTTAAAATGATTAGTTCACTCGGAGTTCCTCGGATGAAGATTTAGTAGCTTTTGTTTTTCACCGATCGCTGTGGGTCGTCTTGTCAATCCCACGTTTAGAACGCAACCGAGTTTAAACAGCTGGGGGCTGTTCTCGTATGTATATGGGCTATCTGCTTGCGTTTCTCTTTAAACCAGGGAATGCGGCTCTTTTGCAGCTTAGAAGAGCGTACTCTCCGGCCTTACGGATTTAATCACACCGAAAACAAGGATAAAACATGGCAACAAACCTGAAGAGTTCGTGAAGTATGTCCTACCGTTGGGTCCAACTCCTTGAGATAAACGCCGTTTCCCGACGTCAGAGGACTGACCTCGCGTCTCGCATTATTTCAAACCGGTCCGGGAAGCTAGCGCAAGCCATCTCAGCTGCAAGACCACAGGAACCACTCGTTGGACCCAGCTCGACCAAGCAGGGGTAGATAATACGGCTTCTTCCCAAGAGGCAGTCGTAATTATGCAGATCTTTTTGAAGGGAGCCTCAGCTCCCCCCGCGGAAACGAGCTCTATCATAAGACATGGCATTTCAAGCTGAGCAGGCTTCTTCCTTTCAGCATGAAGAAAAGGGAGACGCATAACCCGTAGCTGCCTCCCAGCGACAGGAAGCATAGTAACCGTTGTTTGTCCTCTGCCTAGCATAGACTGGAAAATTCATCATGTTGCTGCTCGCAGGTACATTACTTACCATTACGTTCTTCTTCTACAAGAAGATCTTGTATCCGTTATACTTTTCTCCTCTCTCGAAAATACCCAGTGCCCATCCTCTTGCATCCATAAGTTCACTATGGATTCAATGGAAACGAGTGACGAACAGGGAGTTCGATGCTGTGGTATGCGGTTTTCGACAGAAAGGACCATATATCCGCCTTGGGCCAAACGAGGTGGCCGTCAATACCATGGAGGGCGGCGTCAAGAACATCTATGGCATCGGCAGTGACAACTTCGACAAGTCACCGTGGTACAATTTCTTTCAGAACCACGGGTAAGTTCCTGATCTTTTAGATAAGCCCTTCTTCAAGCCGTTATTGATTATTTGGGGCCAGGTTTCGGAACACATTTTGCGCATTAGGTTCTGAGCATGCTGTGCATAGACGGAGAATCAGTGGAGTGTATTCAAAGTCATTTCTTCAATCTTCTCCTCATATCCGAAAAATCCTGGATACTGTTATTCAACAGCGAATTCTCCCTATCCTAGCCCGTACAGCAAAGAACGAGCAAACGATCGATATCCTGGCATTGAATCTAGCTTACGGGCTAGACTTTGTTTCTGCATTCATATTTGGCTTGCCCGGGGGGGTTAGGTTTCTGGAGGACGAAGCGTCCCGCGAGGATTGGCTCGATTTATATGACCAAACGCACCCTTCTAAGAATTTGTTCTGGTTGACAGAATACCCATTCCTGTCTCAAGTGGTATCCAAATTCGGCATTCCTTTGGTGCCGAAAGGTTTCCTCAAGGCGAAAAGGGATCTGGAAACCTGGGCCATGAAAAGGACTAAGCTGGCAGAAGACGTCCTAAGGGAAAATCCGACAGATGATACAATTCAACCAGGAGATATGCCGCTTTTGTACCACGCACTTAAAACAGGAATGGAACTGGAACAAGGTGGGAAAATGAATGGCAGGTTCGTTCCCACGAACACTCAACGGCACGAGCTTGCAAGTGAATGTTTGGATCATCTGGGTAGGTGATTGTCAACCAGCTTAATTGGAGAAAGAAGACGCCGGCTAATGCTTTTGCAGTGGCTACAAGAGACACTTTTGGTAAGAGCAGCTTCCATCATAGATCTCAATAGTCTTGCTAACCTGCCAGGTATCACCTTTTCCTACGTTATTCTCAATGTCTCTCGAAATCTCGAGATTCAAGAAGAACTTCGACAGGAACTGCGGTCAATTGAGGGGCCTTTTCAGTATCACGATGAGAAGAAGACGGAGATTCCAACGCCACAAACCTTGGAGTCATTGCCTCTTCTAAATGCGGTCATTAGGGAATCTCTTCGCCTCAGGAACACGGGACCAACTCTCAACCCTCGAGTGACACCTAAAGGCCGAAAAGTTACTCTTGGGCCATGCGATGATGTTCCAGCTGGCACGCGAGTAGGTGCATATGCTTGGTGCCTTCACAGAAACGAAGAAGGTTATCCAAATCCAAGGACTTGGGATCCTATGCGTTGGTTGGTCGACGCAAGTGATCCTAAAGCTGGAGCAAGAGAGCGTTGGTGGTGGGCCTTTGGCAGTGGTAGTCGTCAGTGTTTGGGTCAAAACTTGGCCATGGAATGTAAGAAGCTTACCCCAAGCCCGTATAATCAAGATATTGATTAACCAATTCTCTGATAGTAATGCGCTATGCTGTCGCTGGCATATATACCAACTTCAGGACCACTATTGTCGACGACACAGCCTTCGTTGGAGATGAGACTTTCGTGACGGGTGATGGTAGCGAACAGTTGATTCTCAAGGTTGAGCGGATTCAGGCATAGTGAAGCGGTTTTCCAAGCTCTGTACTCTGACTGATCCTATAAATTTGAGTGGATATGTGAGATTTGTTGGAGGTTAGGTCAATTGAAGCGATGATGAAGTTTCTCCAGTGTTGAACTATGTAGTTATGGACTCAGCATGAAGTGGGGTCAAGATGTGAATAACCTAAACAGAATGACGTACGACCTACATAGTAGAGCTTGAGATACATGTAATAGAAAGCATCAACAAAGCAAGATTGGCAGAGCTAAATCCATGAACTCCATGATTGTATGTATACATTAGCAACATATGTCAATTGATCGTCTTCTCGTTTAGAAGTCTAAAGCACAACCCAAAACCCCTAGTCCAAGCATCTGCCCTCGCTCCTCAGCAACAGCACGTCGAAACATAACCAACCGATGGCGTCCCAATTCCTACGCTTCGTTCACCGTCCTCTCCTCATTTCCATCCCACTTAGCGCCTCATTGGTCTTCCTGCGTCCTAATCGACCCTCCTCTATAATTCACTGCGACTACGCGCCGCGAATCTCTAGTCAGCCAACCTGGTACACCCGACCGTCCCCGCTCGACGGCAGCGACAGCCCTTTCGGTAGCATAAATCCGCGCACAGTCCGACAGATCAGTTTAGGCAGTGTGTTAGGATTGATTGCGGGTGTTGGACTGAGAATATTTTCCAGGACATTGACGTTTGCTTTGGGAGCTGTGATATTGCTTATCGAGGTTCGATCCTGAAGTTTTATCGAATTATATTGCTACTGTTTGGTCACTATTGATTGGGACTAAGACCGATGCTGATTTTATATTCCGGGGAGTACAGTGGGCAGCGTCAAGGGGATATAATATCGTTCCCACGGAGTTTCTGCAGCGATACGTGAAATCTGTGGATGTCCGACGAGCAGTCACCAAGAATCTAGCATTCAAAGCAAGCTTTGGTGCTACACTGATGCTCGCTGCCTTTTCGGAGTTTTGAGTACGGCTGTTGAAGTCTTCATCATAGCAGCATTGTAAGTTAGGATGAATTCTAGAAGGGATTGAAAAAAAAAAGCCGAATGTCAGGTTCTATAGTATATATCTTGGGGTATCGAACTTAGATCGAAGAGGGAATAATTTATTAAAGTGGTGTCATATCATTGCTCAATGACCAAATCTTCAAGGATACTCTCCATCTCCTCCTGCGAAAGCGGAACTCCGAGCATTTCCACTCCACTCGCATCTGTCCGTGAAACTACCATCTGGTGGTCATAAAATTCTTTGAGCTGCGTTCGGAACATCAGTTCAGACGAAGAAATGAATTCTTCCGTGGCCTTGTGAAATAATGTGCGCCATTCAATCACTGCCTCCTTCGGCTCCTTGCCGGCCTTATCCCGATGGTTTCCGGTGGCTTCATCTCCCTCATCTTCTAAAATATGTTGATCTCCCACGAGTGTGAGAAGTTCGATAATTAGGAGACGATATAGTTTCCGCGTGTTTTCCGGAAGACTTTTAAGTACAAACCCAATCCCTTGTTTTCCTCCTATCCGCCGAACCTTGCGACCAAGGAGACTGTGAACTTCGTCGACAACGTTGATTTCGACGTCGTATGGAACAAAGGTCGTGCAATCATGAAAGGCAAAGTTGAACTGGTCTCGAAGACCACTATCCCATAGGAGAAGAAAATTCGGGGTATCTGCAGTGGCAATAATATTCACATGAGGTAAACTGGCAAGGCGAGCCAAAAGAGCCTGATATGATTGACGGCGTAACTGTATCGCATCGATGGAATTTATTAAAATAGTGATTGGTCGCTTTGGCGGTTTTGCGTTGAGACTGGACTGCAATAAATCCAAAACCTCTGATGGCTGCGTTCCAAGTTTTGAAGGAATCTCAGGTCCCATAGCTGCCCCCATAATAGTTGCAAAGATAGACCTGAGCGTAATATTTGCTGCATAACCATTCACAACGACAATGATAGGAGGTTCCGTATACCGTTCATATAACCAATCCGCAAATGCATGTAGAAGGTTTCGTTTAGAGCCATATCCATGTAAACATATATTGAATCCTTCACTCAATTCGAAATTCCATTGTGGAAATGATCGCTCATGAATCTGTGATAGAGCTTTCTTGTTTTCAGAATTGTGATCTGTGTGTTTCTCCAAATGGTCAAAGTATTCTTCATGCGTCAGTAAGGTGAGCTTGGAAAGCGTATTATCCGATGTCAACACTGGCCCAGGGCGGTTTTGGAAAAAGTATTTTTCATGAGCCGGAAGGTCGCCCTCGGGAGTGGGAGTTCGTCGCCTCACCCGCGT